ATTATCTTTGTCCTGCTCCTTTTCTCTGCACTTTGTGCTGTTACTGGATAGTCTTTGATAGTTGCTGATCCAAGAAGCAAGCACCCCAATTTTTGAAACACTTCATTAAAAATACACTTCTTTTACAGACTTCTGTAAGTTATCTTTTGCTGAATAAACCACTGAAAATTAATATACTTGGAAATTTCTGGTGTAAACTACTGGTTTCTTAAAAGGTAGTTGGTTTATCTTGAGCAGTAGAAACAGACAAGCTGTTTAGGAAAAGTCTAGTAATTTTGAGGCCTCTCTTAGGATTATTTGTTGAGTTGATATTCCCCACCTCTCTCAGGTCAAGTCTCTGCTGCTCACAGAATAGCTTTGACTGTTCATTCCTACAGTAGATGAAGTTTTGAGCTGACATGTCTTGGTACAGCTGCTAAGTCAGGAGGTAGTTGTGAGGACAAGGTGGCAAGGAAATATTTCTTGTGCTTCAGAAAGATCTGATCTGGCTCTGCTTCTTAGATAAAATGTATTCATCTGGAAGTGGTTGTGAATGAGGTGAGAATTACTCTTTTTCTTAACTGTAATCTTAAGTATGTCCAGAGGCAAGTGCTGTTCGTTATTTATATCCAAGGAAATAAGAGACTTGCAGACTGTACATGGGCTCGCAGTGGGCCATAGGTAATATTATGTTTCCTGTGACTTTATATTTATGCCTGTACCTTCAAGTTTGTCCCTGCCTCTCCTGGCCAGAAGGAATATTGATAACCAAACTATTTACAAAATATTTTCCTAAAACCTCTGCCTGCAGCACTTTTTAATTCACTCCTAGTTCAGAGGTGCCAGCACTTGTTAGTGAAGAAATGTGAACTGGTAAAGTATTAAGTGTTCATGAGCAAATAAACACTGGGGGTACCCTGCTGATTTTTAGAAACTTAGCTTTACCTTAAGTCAGCTGTGGTTCCTTTTAAAATGCGTTTAATATTGGCCCGTGCCAGAGGAAGGATTCAGCATTTGAAGGTGGAACAGCACGTGGCAGTTTCTAGGGCACATTTCTAAGGACACATGTTTTGGTGACCTTTTATGTGCTTTTCTGTGTGCTTGCTAAGCAAGGCAAGTGGGAAGTTTTTCCTTACTGGTAATTTTTGCCACAGACGGTGATGGATATTACCTGTTTATTCCCATTATGACTTGTTACAGCAGTAAACATAGGAGTAATATCAATTGATGACAAGTATTTGATGGTTGATTGCCATGTTGAGCTAGGGGTATGTTGGAGTTTAACATGTTGGTTTTTTTTAACTGTATTTAACTGCCTCACAAAGCATCTGTAGAAAGTGTTGACATACGAGACTGAAAGTATTTTCCAAATAATAGAAAATCTTTAAAATCTAGAACCTTTGTCCCCTTTGGGCCATTTCAAAAGCCTAACGAATGATGTGCTCGCATGCAGCAATTCTATTAGCACGTTGTCATAACTTTTATTACCACCTGTCTATCCAAGCCATCTGGGAGGAAAGGGTATAAGATCTAAAAGTGACAGTTACTCAGAGAAAATTAAATAGTCCTGTGTCTCTCCAGCTCATACATTTGTCTTGCCTTTAGATCACAGAAGCTTTCTAAGACTTCTTTGCATCTGTTAGATGGAGTTAATATTTAGGTACATCTTAAAATCCTGTTGTAACACAGAAAGTAGCTGTTGAAGTTTGGGTTTGCATCATATGGTTATCTCTTTCCTTCCCTAATTATATGATTGATGGCTACAGCCTTCTGGAGTTTGCTCCTTGGAGTTCAGTGAAACATCAGGAATTTAGGATTAACTTCTTCCCTCCATCCAGGAAACCCTTCAACTTCTCAGGGTGTTCCAACAAGCTTGATGAATGTGCCATTGTAACATAAATCTTTCCCTCCTCATTAATCCCTCATTTTCATGCCATAAAGGGAGGTGTTACCACTAAATTTACCAATTTGTCTTCTCCGAGAAGGACCCACTGGAGTCTTCTAACTATGTAATTACCTTTCATGTTAAACCACTTCGCTAATGTGTGTGTAGAGATAATTGCTTCAGTTTACCTGGAAGTAGAAGTCGTCTTAGAGAAGACTGCTTATTGTTTCTAAATACCTTACGTGGAAATTTGTTCCTTATCCAAACTGTTCTGGATCTGTTCTTGTAATTATTCCGAAGCCAGGCAAGGAGAACAGCATTGTGGCCTCTCAGAGTCACGGGAAGATGCAGATGGACACTGCTGCTGACTCTCCAGCCATTCTTCACATGGAGCTTTAGGGTGTCTCGCAGTGATGGGCTATGCCCAAAGTCCCTGTTAGGAGGAAGACCAAGTAGATTGTTGTGGCTTGAGGTTTAATTCACATCTACGTTTTGCACAGATATAGGGGGAGATGTATGGAGGGCCATAGTGTCGTTTCAGAAAAATCAGAAGTTAGTTTAAGTTATTTTTATGTCTTTTCTGCATCCCTCTAATGCTTCTTAAATAAACATTGCATTATTTCTCGCTCTGCAGAAGGAAGTATTTTAAGAGAGCGCTGAATACTTCTGTGTTGCAAGTACTTTGAGTAGAAAGGTATTGGTTAAAAACTAAAATCGCTGAAACCAACTGCAACAACAAAATCTAATTTCACATCACACTGTTGTGTTTTATTTATTCATTCTGCTTTCTTCTGGTCAAACTTTTTTATTAGGCTTAGCTTCTTGTTGCTCAGTGTGCCCACAGATTGCTGTCACTGAGGAGGTGAGCTTAAGAAATTTCATCCTTTCCCTGGCTGCTTATTCTCCTCTCATGAGTTTGTGTCCCTGTTGTTTGTGCCTGTGCTATGAAGCAGAACACTAGAATGATGTAGATTTAAAATAGGTGTAAGCAGAACAATGTAACAGCGTGGGTGGAGTTCAGCAGTGCTTCTGTGAACCCCGAGGGGATGGGAAGAGCTTGGGTCTCTCCTGCCCATAGAAGAAAACCAGCAAAAAAGCATCTCTTCCCTAACCGTGGTGAGGAGGAGGTGCTTGTTGCTGCCTGTGCTGGAATTTGAGGTTTTATCTGTCCCCCAAAGCCTTGTGACTGGAGACAGTGAAGCGATGGTGTCCTCAGAGGCAAGACTGAAATGTTGCCCATGGAAGGGCAGTTAGCTATTCAAAAGTAGTGTCTGCTAATTTTGGCCTAACATGAATGTCACAGAGTGGTTTAATTGAATTTATTTGGAAGAATTGTGGTAGTTTTAAGTTTAACATAATAAAACCTGTAGCAAGTACCTAAAGTGTATATTGATGTCCCTGTCTTTCTAAAATGTTGATTCTATAGCAAACATTTTAAAACATTTCCCCCATTCCACATGCGCAGCACAAACTGCAAATGCAAGAAGTTTGTGAAGCAATTTGATCTGAGAACACTGGGTTTTACATTAGTGCTGGTTGTCTGCAGTTCAGATCATACAGAGTTAGTTGTTTGCTCCTGAGCTTTGCTCCGGGAAATAAATTTCCATCGAGTTAAGTGTGCATTTCTGCAGGGCTAAATACTTTATTTCTTAGCTCCTGATAGCTAGTATCACTTTTTCAGTGTTTACATGGGCTTACTTGTGCTTTTTTAAAGGAAATTAAACCTCACAAAAAGCCCACTCTTGTTTTACTATTAGATAATGCCTGTGTATGAGTATTTCCAGGTACTTTCTGAAGGTGCATAGAACTCAAAACCCGAGTACACAGCCGTAAACTGGAGTGGGGGTTGATTTGAGCCTTGCTTAGGAGAGGTCTGGTCTGCAGCTGGAGCTTGCAGTCAAATCCAGACCTGCCCTTCAAGATTCCAAATTATGTTGGTAGTTGTTGGGGGGGAATTATGTGCATATATGTTTATGTTCTTATTGTGAATATTCTCCTGTTGTTTTGCGGTGTGGGATTTGTAGGTATATATTCTCTATGCTTTCCACCATTTTCTTTCAACAACAACTGACTCAGTCTTCCTGAAGAACAAGAGCCTGGACTTTACATTCTCCTGCAATGACCCTCAGTATCAGCTGTTGTATTTAAAGCAATTTGTATTGCAAGATAAGAATTTTATGTCTTTCACACACCCTTTTTTTTTTTTTTTTTTTTTAAATCCTTTCGAGGACAAAACTAACAGCAGTGGAGTTTTTGTGGTTCACTGGCTGTCCTGTGCAGATAAATATCACCTGCAAAACAGAAAGTGTTTAGCAGAAGGCTAAACTGTAAGGCATGTGATGCTTTTATATCTGCCAAAATTATGAATCCTCATTTCTCATCTTTGAAGACATTTTGTGTATCTGCCTTGGGGACAGATTATTCTATTTTGTTTCAAAATCTCCCTTCTGGTAACTAGGTGCTTGTTTTATCGGCTGTGCCTGAGTATTCATTCAGGTGTGTTGCAGTGGTTTTAACCCCATTTGTTCTCTGCAGATGGCAGTTTGACTGGGCACTTAGAAATTGGGAACTTTGCTAGCATATAAAGGAAATGAGAATTTCCCTCTGGCCAGAGAGATTTGGTTTGAAGTAGAGAAATCATTACCAACACCTTCCCTAATAGTAAGGCTTCAGGAGAAGGTTTAAACTGTAGGAAATTATTTTGTTGATGTTAGTGGAGTCTCTCTGAACGTAGGGTTTGGTTTTGTTGTTGAGTTTGGGTTGCATGTTGTTACATGTAGCTTTTTCAAATTAAGAACTTCATTTGTCAAATCTGATCTCTGATAGTCTGAGCCTCTCAAAATGAAAATAGGGAGTAAGTAGTGAGTTGAGTCTTGGACTCCTTAAAGCAAATTATATGCTAGGCTTATTCCTGTAAGGAGCTGCATCTTGAAAGAGTGGATGGAGGTGGCATATCCTCTCTTCAGAAGACAGGTGGTAACACTTTAAAATGTTTAAATGTAACATCATATTTTGAAGGTGCTAGGGGAGGGAGAAAACATCATGACTTTAGCTTGTGTTCCATGAGATTTAACAATACTCCTGAGCTTTTCCTATTTTGTTCTTAGTTTTGGGTTTTTTTCTCTTTTTGGGGAGTGACAGAGTGAAGATCAATTATAAATTTCTTCTTCTGAGTTGTGAAATTCTGTTTAATCTTCAAACTGGCGATGTCAAGGGTGCCGAGTCCTCCTCCTCCGGCAGAAATGTCGAGTGGACCTGTAGCAGAGAGCTGGTGCTACACCCAGGTAAGTCCACACTGTGCTGAGATACTCTTGACATAACGGAATTAGAACCTGTGATAAGAAGTTTATTCAAAACAAGTTTAGAGTCTGGATTTTCAGACAACGTCACACTTGCTAACATTGAACATTCACCAGGGCAACAGCAGAATGTTGTCTTCTGCTCTTGGTGGAACTTTGGAGGAGGCAGTTGGAGAAGTTGGAGTGGTCCAGCTGCCACTGCCAGCCATTTCCAGACTGTTGTCTTGCGCTTGGGGGTTATTTGTCACACAAGTGACTCAGTAAAACGTTCAAGTTTTCAGTTTTTGCCCTTAAGATGGCCAGCGTGAATGAGTATGACCCTAAACCGCCTATTATCCTCTGTTTTAAGATCAAGGTGGTGAAGTTTTCGTACATGTGGACCATAAACAACTTTAGCTTCTGCCGAGAAGAAATGGGTGAGGTCATCAAAAGCTCAACCTTTTCATCTGGAGCCAATGATAAACTCAAATGGTAAGAAATAGAACAAAGAGGTTCACCCTGTTTGTACGACTATGTGAAAGAATTTGGGATTCTATAACAGAGGAAATACATAACAAATACTCGTACTGCACATGGGTTCTTGCTTCCTGGGATGTACAACATATGCACAGGGAGAAAGTACGTTGCTTCAGCATAGTGTTTGGACACACAAAACAAATGTGAGGATCTGGTTGCTTGCAGTCTTTCTCTGATAATGAAAAGCATCAGAAGTAATAGAAGCTGTAGCTGGAAGGGAGACTACGTCCTTCCTTGAAGCAGAGACACGCCAGGGAGGATTATTAATGTCTTAAGTTGGGGGGGTGGTTTGACTGATGTTTTATCTTAACGAGTACTTATAAGCCAATGAGAGTCCATAGCCAGTGTATTCAAGTTCCATTTCAGCCTCCTGCTTTCAGTCCCTAATACTCCATGTTGTTAAAAAGATGATTTTTGCCTGCACTCTAAATCCTGCAATTTAAGACTATTGGTACGGTATTACCTTTCTCTTTATGGCAGGTGTTTGTGAATTTGGAGACTTAATACCGAGATAATTGAAGTAACAATGTTCTATAACTCCCTTCTGCCCAGGAATTTCAGCTTCTTAAATACGACAATTTTTTTTGCTCTTCTCCTTTCCCTTAAAACCTTTCTTATCTTCCCTGAGTTCTCAAATGATTTCCAGTAATTCAGAGTGGACTTTTTGTCAGAATGTATCTACTGTGACTGGTGTTTGACCTAGTAGATCCATGGACACCTGGTTCCTGATTTTATCCCTTATTGCTGATGTTAAGTGTTTTAGCATTTAGCCTTTTTCTTTAAACCTCCTTAGTATAGATTGCAGTACATCAGCCACTAAATAATTTTTTGTGTCTGTGATACAATTTGTGTTCCCTTCCTTTGGGTGGCAGACCTGTGCTTTCCTTGGACTGTTTTGTTATTAAATTACTTACCTTTATAACCTTTGCTAGTCAGATCTCATTCTAATGTCTAGATCTTTCTGATCTTTTTTGTCCTTGTGTGTTTGAGCTGTTAGTCATTTGGCCTAGTTTTTGCTTCTTGTTAGATTCTGTGTCAAGTTTCAGGTCATGGAAGTGCTTATGAGTTAGCCTCTTCCTGCACTTACTACCTCTTCTTCACACAGGAGTAGTTTTCTCTTTTTGCCCTAGTATTAGGTTTTTGAGAAACTAGCAGCCTTCCGGAAATCCTTTCCTTTCAGTAGCTTTCTGTGGGGTTTTACCTAACATTTCTCTGGATTTGTTGCACTTGCTCGAATCCATTGCCTCCATTCTGCTACTTCTTTCACTTCCATTTTGTGAAAGTTGACATCAGGGTGCTTTTCAGTAATTTAAACCGTACCCCCTTCTCTTTTCCCCTGTGTGTTTTTTTTCAATTGGGTTTGCCCATAGTTACTGCCTGCATATTATTATCTGTCTTGGAGACGTAGCATGTGGTGACTGTAACATGCAGTTCCACCCTATTTACGTATCCATTACTTCCTTGCAGTTCAGTGGCTGTTAAACAGAACTTGTTTGCTGTACATTTTATTGTGAAAATTCTACAATGCCCTTTCTTTGAAAGCTATGAATGACCTGCCAAAAACCGTTCCTGACATCTCATTCAGATGCCTGCTTCTACAGGTGTTTACGTGTGAACCCTAAAGGCTTGGATGAAGAAAGTAAAGATTATCTATCCCTCTATCTGTTGCTGGTGAGCTGTCCAAAAAGTGAAGTTCGAGCAAAGTTCAAATTCTCCATCCTGAATGCTAAAGGAGAAGAAACAAAAGCAATGGGTGTGTAAAAACTCTTTCTGTGTGATGGGGTCAGTTTGTCTTTTGCTGTTTGATCAAGCGAGTCACTCAGCTGGTGTTTGAAGCACCATATCTTTCTTTCAGAGAGCCAGCGAGCGTATCGATTTGTACAAGGCAAGGACTGGGGATTCAAAAAATTTATTAGAAGAGACTTTCTTCTAGATGAGGCCAATGGACTTCTTCCAGATGACAAACTCACTCTGTTCTGTGAGGTAAGTCTTCCTGTGCAGCGGAAGGAATAGCAGTTCCATTAGCTTAAGGTAGATGTGACCTTATTTTTCATCATTGATTTTAAGGAGTTGGAGGTGTCAGGAGAAATATTGGAAGTTTATATGGCACTTAGATTTTATTTGTGTGTGTGCGTGCGCCTTTGTGGCTGGTGGCTTTTTCTGTGTGTGATTCATTGCATTTCGCTTCCATTTATTTTTTCGTTACTTCATATTTGTCTTTTAGCTGTGATGATGGTAGGAATTAAGCATGTTTTATTATCATTTCACTTCTGGTTTAGTATTATCGTCCATCTGTTTGTACTCCTTAATTTGAAACTCACTTGGGATAATAACCAACACTAGCTCTGTAGTGGAAACTGGCCTGCCTATTACTTGCCTACTGAATAAAGAAGAATTTTATTTATTTTCCTAACTGTATCTATACAGCCAACAAAAAGAAAAATGTAAGATAAATTAATTTTATAGTGACCGCAAATTTTATGTGTTTATGTTTTTCTAAACGGCTTGCAAAATTATTTCACTAATACTAATTTCAGACAAAGATGCAGACAATTATTTCTAAAACTAGATATCTAAGTTTAGAAGCCTTAATGAGCAAATTTAAACTGTCTAATTTAATGTCTTCAGAGCTTCTGCTGTCTTATTTCCATTGTCGTCTTAACTGCAAAATACCTCCTGTAGCTGTGATTTTTGCCAGAAGACAGGTAGAACAAGTCGTTGTCTCTTCGGATCTCCTGCAGTCTTTTCTTTTTGCTGTGTTTTCTTTCAGGAATGAAAGAAGTGCTTCAGTCAAAGTTGTTCGACAGACCATCAGAAACATGCACACATTTAAATTAACAAACATTTCCTAAAGGATGTGTATTTAATCAGTCGTGTAAATTATTACTGTTGTGGAGGGAGCCCTTCCTTTAACACTTGTAGCAATATGGGGGGAGAAGAGGGCAATGTCTTGGATGACACCTCTGTAGGTCTGGCAGTTACCCTTTTCTTTCATGATAAAAGAGCCAGAAAACTTAGAATTGTGGAGTGAACCTCAAAAATTCATGTCTGAGAAGGCCATTTGTGAGGTGCAATGTAGATAAACCTGAGATCCACCAGTAGTCTTGGCAACCAGTACTAAATTGAAGTCAGTCCACTCTCTACTGAATTAATCCCTTCAAAAGGTTCAGCTTAGTGTTTTTGTTCCGGATGAAGAGAAAACTTGCTGCTGGCTCCACCTGGCCTTCATATCTTCTGTTTTCTTTTTCAGTTTGTTCTAGTCTAGCGTGTAAGAAATCTTAAGTTTAGTGATATCAGAAGGGAAGGTTTTGCTGTCTGGAAACAGTTTGGCGAGAGCTTTCAACAGCTTAGTTTTGGGGTTTTTCCCCCTTCCTTTTTCTTTTTTTTTCCCCTTCCTCCTTCCCTGAGCTTATAAGTCTCTTAGCATGTAAAGCCGTGTGCCATATGCTCTCCTAATGCTTCCCTGCTGGCCACAGGTGCCAAGTGATGCTGCTTACATCTGTACTTTCAGCAAGCGTGTTTTGTCTGTCAAAACTGTCTAAGGAGTTAGCAATACTGGATGTTGAAATGCTTGTTATGTGGGGATATGTTGGAGTTTTCTGTAGACCAGAAGGTTGCTGAGTATCTCTGCTGCACCTTCTCATTGCTTTATTAAAGTTAAAAGGAAAAAGCCTTTTCCTCTCTGCTCGTGTCTGGTGCTGAACACAGATAATGTCTTGCTGAAAACGCTGTTAAGGCAGAGAAGGATGTTCCTTGTCAAGCATTTCAAGTCTGACCTCATTTAGTTGTCAGTTTGGGGATTTTTCAGCCTCTGTTTTGCAGGTGGGGTTGATTGTTCATATCCCAACTGCATTATTTTTTGCTGTTTAAATTTTATTCCAACATCATAGGTAAATATAATCCTGGTAAACCTCCAAAAAGAACAGTGTTCCCAAAGTTATGGTAATAGGTGTCTTCTGAGCTAGGTAGCATTGGTTCCCTTGCTAAGGTGTTGAAAATAGCTTGAGCAAAAACCTTACCTATTTGACCTCTAAGGCTGGTCACCACTTGGAATCTACCAGTCTAAACTCCTTATGTAAAAAACCATGTAATAGATTTTCATGACAACAACTGACATTCTTCTGTATATGAAGAGGATTTACCTGTTGATTTGAGGCAGAGTTCAAAAGCCTTTTTTGCCTAGTCTGTAATCAGTACTGGACTCCAGCAAGGGATCTACATCTTAGAATTCCTTTTTAATGAGTCTGACCATCCTTGAGTCCATGTTGCTGGTCTAGATGTCACAGGGCAAAAAGGTTTTGTAGCTGTCACATGAATTACAAAGAATATTAGCTTCCTCACATTTGCTCTGGCTAATCATTAGTGTCCTTTGGCAATCTGGTATTTGTTTGATTTTGAGTGTTATATGGTTTATACGATACGTGTCTGCCATCAGAAACCCACTGGAGGTTGCTCAAGAGTTGGGGTATATGCTGTCAGCAGGTTTTTTTCTTTAGAAGATGTTTCTGTCACTTCTTTCACTTGATAATTTACCTCTTCTTTTACATGTGAAGCTTCCTTTGCTGTCTGTTGTTCTTTGACCGTTGGTTATTAATAGAACTGAAATTTAACTTGAACTTGACAGCAAATCCAGGAAATAGTCTTACATATGCCTCCCTGTCAAATCAGCTTCTTCCTTTATTCTTTGTTATAGCAGGGTAATATTAGTCACTCTGATCTTTTCTAATTGGAGTCTGCTGTAGAAGGCGTACGATTTACTGTGTGTTTAACAATAATGGTTTGGTGGTGAATAGCTTTTCACGGTTCCCTCTGTGTAGATTATTCATCAGCCAGTATGGCTACATATCGTTCCTGCCTAAATGTGTCTTCTTTAGAGCAGGTGATAAGGAATCTATCTGCCTTCCCCAAACCTAATTACTTGACATAAAGCTGTTTCTTTAAACTTAACATTAAAAAACCCCTAAATGTTATTTTATAATGTGATGGAAGTGTTAAACTCTCTAAGAAACTTAGAACCAAAAGCAGCAAGACATTTGGGGGATCAGACAGTGCCCTTGCATGTATGTGTGGATGCAGTGCTCGGTCACAGAAGCTCTCTGTATACTTAATTTTCATTTGTACTGCTGTCTGTATTGCATTATTGATTGGGGAGTGTTTCAGAGTGTTGATAGAAAAAACTAGGTCAGGTATGGTGTCTGTAAAAGCGGAAGAATAAGGTTCCACTTCCTTAGGAAGCCATCTAATAAAGTTATGATTAAATTGCATAGAAGTGCTGTTAATTTGGGGTGGAGAAGAAAATCTGCCGCTATCATTTAAGACTTGAGATGGACACTCTGGAGGAGCAGAGAACAGGGTTAGGCAGGGTAGAAAGGATGCTTTAAAAATGGAGATGTTTTTAATCATACAGTGATTCTGCTTGGCAGGTGTGGATTTTGGTTTGCATTTCCCTTCACCTGCCCTGGAAACAAAAATTTCCTGTAGGGAGATGAGTTTTCCAGTGTGTGTTTTTTGAGTTTTGAGTTTGTTTGCTTTCCTTTCCCCTCGAGGTGAGTGTGGTGCAGGACTCCGTCAATATTTCCGGCCAGAACACTATGAACATGGTGAAGGTACCAGAGTGCCGCTTGGCAGATGAGTTGGGAGGACTCTGGGAGAACTCACGCTTCACGGACTGCTGTCTGTGCGTTGCGGGCCAGGAGTTCCAGGCTCACAAAGCCATACTAGCAGGTCAGTATTGAGTTGGATGGGCCTTAGCGGGATAGGAGACAACAACATGATGGCAAGTGGGGTGTTTTTTGAGTTACTTGACTGTAAAGAAGGCTTCTGCAGCTCTTTTAACTGTAGAGCTGTAGTAAAAGAACGTTTTGTGAACTGTTAACGGGGAGAGAAGAAATATCTACTCCATTTTTACCTCCTGTGGCCAGGATGGGTAGGAGGATTCTTTTGTGGCTGTAGTGTACTATAATGTATTCCTAAAGCATTTGTAAGGAGAAGTTATCACATTTCCAGAGGAATGCTTTCTTGTAAAGTCGAGAAACTTACCTTATTGCCCATGTACTCTTCAGCGCTGTTTGAAAGGACATAAGAAATTCTCCCATACCCAGTCTGAAGCTATGCCGGCCACATTACATTATGTCACAATCTACACTTCCTTAGCAGTTGAATTAGTCCTGTCTACTATGGGAGAATTTTTCCCACGTTAAGTAGCAGGACGGTTGTTGAGGTGTTGGCAGGCTATGCTTAGCATCTCCTGAAGCATAAAAGAGTATCTCTAACTCTCTCTTATTTTCCCCACTGCCATAGCACGTTCCCCAGTTTTCAGCGCCATGTTTGAGCATGAGATGGAAGAGAGTAAAAAGGTAAGTTCCTGAAGGAGGCAGAACTTCTCCAGCTAGGTGAATAGCTCTCTAGCCAACTCTTGACATCACTGGTCAGTTAACTTTCTTAGGTAGTGTTTGTGACTATTGTCACCTTTTGACTGTTTTTCTCACGTTAGGTGCAGGTCTCTGCTTCAGCTGTCCTGAAGGGAGGAAGAAAGGGATCAAGGAGACAATTGTTACCTTTGTTACTCTTGGGGAAAGAATCTGAGGTGGCATAGGGAGAAGTAGAGAATGTGAAATACAACTTAGAATTTTTCTTATTCCATCCACTTTTTTTTTTTTTTTTTTGCAAGTAGTACACATTCTAAGGAGTTTGTTTCTGTAGCAAATCTCTGAATACTGAAAGAGCTTGGGTAGAAGGAAGCCTTTAACATCTTGTCAGGATCTTAATAAGCTTCATTTTTCTGATACAGAATCGGGTTGAAATCAATGATGTGGAGCCTGAAGTTTTTAAGGAAATGATGTGCTTTATTTACACGGGGAAGGCACCAAATCTTGACAAAATGGCTGATGACTTGCTGGCAGCTGCTGACAAGGTACAGTTGGGATTTATGGGTGTTCAGAGAACCAGGAATGACATGTGCCTTGCTTTACACAGAGCTCCTCGGAGATTGCTGCTGTAAGCTTTTCATGTGATCATTGTGGTTGGGCAGTTTCTTTGAATTGGTTGTGGCTTATAGGTAAACCTGGATGTAGTGTAGATACATGGAAGATACCTTTAGCGCTATAGATACGTATCTTAACATATAACAATCAGGAATTTCTGTCTCTACTGCTCATTTTTAAGCATTTTCTTAAAATTTCAGAGGACATCTCTATTCAGCATAATCTAGCATAAGAACTGGGGGACAGAAGACAATTTCAAGGTGGACCTGGCGATACTTTTTTTTAGTGTGATTATTACCAAATCTCAGAAGTAGTGTTCTGGCTCGGCAAACAGGGCCTGCTTCTCCTGGTCTGGCTGGTATTAGCAGCTTCAAGAGATGCTCTAAAGTGATGGATAGCCAAAAGTGGGAAGGTCCTGTTGTTTATTTTCTTTTTGCAGTGGCAGTCCCTGCTGTTTATGGAGAGAAGGGGTGCACTGGAGGAAGCCCCATTGCCTAACCCGTCTGTGGTTTTGCAGGGTCCTTGCCAGGGAGGTGTCGGGGATGGTCTGACTGGAAGGCTGCTGGTAGTCCCCGTGTAGCAGGCGCAGCTGGCCAGGGAGCCGTATTAACCACTGAAAATTCGTAATATATAACCAAAATTTTATTTCCTTTTTCTTTTTTCTCTTAAAAGTGAACTTAGTGCTGTTGAAAGATGCCAGTTTGACAGCACTGGAGACTAAAGTCCTGAATTTATCCATCGAACAGGTTCAGCACGGGTAGCAGCAGTGCAAGATTCTCCACACTGCCCTGCCAATGTGCCTCAACTCTGACCTGGAGGGACCACCTCTAGGGGTGAGAGCGTAGTTCAGTCTCCATGCTTCTTCAGTCCTTGGATTCTCTTGTGGGTGCCAGTTAGGGTGGTGGATTTTAAGATGTGGATGCATGTAACCTTGTTCCACGCAACCACCACACGGCCATCAAATTCCCTGTCGCTGCGGACCTGGGCTTCATCAAAAATGCTGATTTAGAGGTGAAATGCTCCATATGCCATTATTGGGCCACTGCAGCTAGAATTAAAGTGGGAAATAATGCGAGGAGATTCTTGGCCTGATTATAATCATTGCCACATATTTTATTCAATATTTAAAGAGTATTGATTGAGAGCTCACGCACCATCTTTAAACTGAGACAAGCGTAAGTAAGAAGCAGTACATTAAGGACAGAGTAGGCTTTAACTTTGAGTTTTCTGGCTTTTAATGTAGGGTTTTTTTCCTTTTAAACTCATTGTGTGTCTTTTAAAAGCAGAAATAAAAAATCTTGCATGAAAGCACATAAAACATCTAATATTTACTCAAGAGACTGAAACAGCTTCTTCTGAGTTCCTCTTGTCTCTTGGGAAAAATATGTAATTAGACCAAAACCAAAACAAAGCACGTCTTCTTAACCCAGGAGATACTATTTCAGCCTCTTGGGTAAGTATGCTATTAGGTAGGGTGGTTTTTTTAAGTGTAATTAAGAAAGGGGGGAAGGGAAGATCTTGGTACCTGAGAGACCAGAATGGCTACTTTTGCCTAACTATGTAATTAGAAGCTGAGCTATTTGTAGCGAAAATCAAAATAAAAATTGTACATTGCATGGAGGAGAATAATCAGTTTACAAAAGGAATAATTTTGAGCTTCGTTTGCTGCATTGTAAGATACTGACAGACAATAATATAAACTAATGGCTCACCCCTCATTTGAAACTGTTTTAGTTATTGATACAGATTAAGCAAGTAAATTTGATTTGCCTTCTCAGATGTTCTGGTGGGAGAAAACTGTCCTGGTTATGAGTGCCATGCCTCAATTGAAGTAATTATTATTGCCGAGTCTTAAGTGAAAAAATGTTTTTATAATCTAAAATTATTCATTCAAATTTAATCATAATGGGATGAAAATCTCAATCAGAATATTAAATCAATTTATAGTAACAGTGCTTATCATATGGCAAGTGCTCCCGTCGTCATGCAGATGCGCTTGTTACCAGCTCTCTGTTCAGGTTGACAGAGCAGTCCTTAGAAATCTGGTATCTTTTCCAAATGCGGCCTCAGATACTGAAGAACTTGTATACCATGTCATCTCTAAGCTGTCCAAAAAAGCCTTATAAACAGCATGAAGGATATTCTCAAATGCAGTTATCTGCCAGAAAAAAGAAATTAACAATCTTAAAAAAAATCTATTTATTTTTTTTTTTAGGAATGCCACTCAATTTGAAGTCATAATGTGAAGGAGACTTAACTGTGATTACTCTTTCTTTAGGACAATTTATGTAGTGCTGATGCTATTACTCACAGAAGAACTGCATTAGAATTGACTACTCTCCTAATCCCTGTGAAATGTAATCATGGGATCTAGACTATACAGAGCTACTCCGAAATACTCAGTTTGTTTCATCCAAAGAACTGCAAACCCGATAATCAGGTCACACATACCCAAGATTTTCAGAAGTATCTCAGTCTCACAGTTCCCAGCTATGATATTCTGAAAGACTGAGGCTTGGGGTTTGGGTTTCATTTCTTGATAATGAATGGCTTAAAAGTTTTCTGAGTATCGACCTTTCTGATGTCTGCCCGAGACCACTGTGTTGCTTTTGAAAATCTTGGCTGTGTCTGTGTGTTTCAATACTGACTGAAGTGCTGCAGAAAGTAGAGTGTGAAATTCGTTAGACAGCACTCATCTTCTAAGCATATCCTTTGAATTTCTCGAACCACTGACATGGCCCAACCTTGTGGATCTAAAAAATGTTGAGGCAAATGCAGAATTGAACAGTAGAAACTCTTAAATTGAGAATGTGAAGTTAGACTAGAGCTTTTGCCAGGGCGTTACAGGCATGCTGCGATGTTTCGTTTCCAGCTGAATAGTTGCAAGAAATCAAGGGCATTTGTTTAACATTTTAGTATTAAACTAGTACCATATACTTGAGCAAGGCTGATCTTAATGTGTAGGTCATTAATGGCAAAGAAATTGAGTGAAAACTGCCTAAACATCACTGGAACACCTGTGGAGCATTCACTGTTAGATAGACCTTCCCACTGAACCCAGGCAATACTGTCGTGCGGTAATAGAGTGAGAATAAATATTTGGCTTTAGCATTCTGTACCTTGAAGTAACTGACATAGTAGGTATTACAGGTGACTTGAAATTCTCATTTCAAAGCATGAACACAGCACCAGTAAGCCTGTAACACAAGAAGGCCGAGATGAGAGTTATGGTGGGTATGTTTCCTCTCCATTGCTTTTCCTCAGGGTGGGCACATCATGATTCTCCTTTTTTTGCTGGTCACTGCTTCTCCGAGTACAGTTCAGATGCATATAGCAAAGCAAAGAGGTCTGTTCAGCATAATAGACTAGCTTGTTACTGAAGAGTGAAGGCGCACAAGTAAAGCTTCGCATCAGGCCTGATTAGGTGTTTTCTTCTTTGTAACTGTACTTTGGCTTGTATTTTGCAGTATGCTCTAGAACGTCTGAAGGTGATGTGTGAGGATGCACTGTGCAGTAACCTGTCTGTGGAAAATGCAGCTGAGATCCTCATTCTGGCTGACCTACATAGTGCTGATCAACTGAAAACTCAAGCAGTGGACTTCATTAACTAGTGAGTTTACTTTTGTTCCAGGATGCAACAAATTGGAGGAAAGTGTGTTTATTAGCAATAGGGTTCACAACTTGTGAACTGTCGCCTACAGGGGAGATTCCCCTCTCCTTTTTTTCTTTTTTCTAGTTTTCCCATTGTGATCCTTCATTTACCTGCCATCCCAGAAGTGGCGTTGCCCTCAGGGCAGATTAGTCTTGTCCTGCTGGGACTGTTCAGGGTGTCCAGCGGGACTGTGTGAGCTGTTCTAGATCTCTTTCTAAAATGCAAGAACTTCTAGGTAGTAGAATATCAGGTGGTCCCTAATATTGAGGGACTGTTTGCAGCTTGCAATATAACAGACTTCTCAGCAGATGTAGAATGACTACCAAATGCTTTGATGTCTGGAAACATTTTAGTCTTATTTGACAGTTAATACAGCTCTTCTCGGTGCTTTCTATATTATTTTAAAATACTTCTGTGATGAGTAGTCAGGGTAGGTAGACATTGTGTTCCTGCTGTCCTCCACCTGGGATCATGTGTGTTTAAGCTTTTCATCCTTAAGTTGAAGGACTGTCCAACATATAATTGTGCCAGCAGAGCTAAAGCTTGCAATCTTCACAAAAGATATCTAACATACATCCAGAGCGATCCTAAAACAGTACGCTAAAAATGTCAGGTTTCTGTGGCACGTGGGAAGAATCTAGTTAATCCTTTCTATCCCCAGTTGATAACTTCAGATTTATTCTCTCTTATTTCTAGTCATGCTTCTGACGTCATGGAGACATCAGGCTGGAAGTCTATGGTAGTATCGCATCCCCATTTGGTGGCTGAGGCATATCGCTCTTTGGCCTCTGCGCAGTGTCCCTTTCTGGGACCCCCACGTAAGCGACTGAAGCAATCCTAAAGTCCTGTCTGTCACACCACCCCATGTTTTTCTGGAAGCAGCATCAGCTGTTGCTGCTGTAACCTTGACCACCAGGTAGACAGCGAAATCTGTGGAGCTTTTACTCTGTTGTTGGGGGGAAGAGACTGCTTCGTGACACCCAGACTTTTTAAAACAGCACCAAGTAACTTGGGGAGAGGGGGGAGGGTGGGCCTGGGGCTCTGGGGCTGTTCAACCTAACGAATACCTGTCGCTGCATCGTCTGTGTGTTCCCTTCGACTTGGCTGAGTCAATTAAGTACAGGGTTCGGTTTAGGCACCGACCCAAGTCGGAATAACCCAGCAGTGGTACTGGGGAAAACAACGTCTCTGCGTCTGGCAGCACAGAACAAATCGTCAGATGCCTGGAGCAAGCAAGAGGACATTTTAGCTTTGGAGAGCGTTGAGGGGTTAAAAAGAATTTCCAGTGAGGTTCTGGAAAAGAAGTACCTGATGGGAGCTCCAGTAGTATTTATATCAAAAAAAGAGAATTTAAGTCCTTCCAGCTGAGCTAAGAACTGGACGTTTGTGTAACTCCTTATTGCCATCCAGCAACAAGAAGATCAGTTTCTCTGTTAGTAGCACTTGTATGTTAATTGCAAAAAAAAAAAACAAAAAAAACAACAAAAAAACCCCACCTTTTATAATATGACAGGTTGAAGTGAAAGGGGACAGTGAAAGGCTGTGTGTTCTGGAGGGTGTGAATAGACTGAAGGCAGCCTTTGGCAAGTCTGTTGGTTGTGAAAGGACTAGAAAGTCCTTGATCTGGAGCGTGCTGTCTGACAAGAACAACGGTTACTGTTTTTAGATATTGTGGGAAATGTTTTTGGCATTTTTCCCTGCTTTATTCCCCTCCTCCCCCTTTTTTTAAAAAAAAAAAAAAAAAGGAGAAATTTTATTGTTCATGAGCGCTGCGTCAAAAGTCCCTGTCCTGAGTTGCTAAATGATTCTTAACAACTATTTGTACCTGACTTGCTGACTGTATAGGAGCCAGTCCTGTTCCTTTCTATTAGTCACTCTTCTTACAGGGAAGAAGTTTCAAAATAGCTGGTAACTTTTTTTTTTTTTTTTGAAAATATAAATAATTACTATTTTGTACTGTGTGGTATCTGTTGTCTTTTTTTGTTTCATTTTTAAGACTTCCCAGTTTAAAACTGGCTCCCAAAAGGTTCCATTTCAGTCTGCTGCCATGTACTGATAGTGACATGCTGTTCCTGGAACTCAGATGGGATTTATAAAGGAATGCTGCACACAAAATTGCAATGCAAACCTGTATTATTTCTCATAGCAGGTATTACCAAAGTACTAGAGAGCATTGATTTTAATAATAGCTGCGTGAAGCTGACCCATGGTCCTTCATTTTACCTGGACCTGTTTAGATGTGGGAAGAGAGAATAGTATAAGCCACCATCTGTTTTATAACATTAAGGTGCAACGCAGGATGTCTGGGTAGGATAGACGCCATCCATTTATGTCATCATTAGCCCCAAATCTCCAGGGAGGTTAGATTGAAATACGCAGTGCCGGGGCAGTGGCAAATTGATCTGACCTTAAGATGGTCAGGTAGGGCACGTAATGGATTACAGAGAATAACTCTGTTTTGTCTAGAAAATAGATTAGGTATCTGTTGTCTCTGATTTTTCATTCTGTTATCATACTTCCTTCTCACAGCCTCTTGTCCCCTGTGTGAAGGAGAATTCCGTTCGTACGCTCATGTGTTTAATCTAGCTGCTGTCTATTTTTATCAAATGGTGACTCACAAGAGGGTCCCTGCCCTTTTTTGTTTTCCCCCACCGAGGCTCTCATCATAAACACACAACTGTTCGTATACTAAACCCTTCCTTTTACGTGGGTCACAAATTCCCGTATTACATCTATTGCTTGAATGCCACTAATTCCTTTTGTATGGGATTTAGCGTGCCTTTCCTTTTAGGTGAGCAAAGCATTTAGTCATAAGGAGACTCTCCCCACTACCCTGTCAGAACTCAGACCCAGCATTTCTAGCTTATAATTGCATACAGACATGAAAAGTTCATTGCCAGATAATTGCAGAAGTTCTCTGTGTGGCAGAGAGATGTCTAATTACGCTGCAGTAACTGCATTGTTTACTGAAATATTCAAACCTGAAGGAGACTTTTTATCCTTGTCACGTTAGAGTGACCAGCTGTTCGAGGGGTGTCCCTGGCTCTGCCTTGCCCTGGGAAGCAGACGTGCCTAGGAGAAAGTAAACGGATGCTCACATTGCCTGTCCTCGGCCTTTTTTGAGGAGGTATTTACAGGAAAGTGATACAGATTTGGCAGCCTCCTTCCCCAGAGGATGGGGAGATACCTGCAGGAAAATAATCTGTTCTGGGGCTTGTCTGTCCCAGCCCTTCCTGCGGAGCCAAGCGCAGTTGCAGAATATGCTGTCATGGAAGGTCTGAAATGAGATCCGCAAAGGAGGCAACTTGCTCAGATTGTTCCAGTTGCAGGTGAATTAATGATTTATTTGTCAACTTCACTCTTTTTTTGTTGTTGTTGTTTGTTTTTTATTGTAAATGATACAGCTGAAGCCATCTGGTTATAACAACATCAGAGCTGGAGCATACTGTTCATAAACCTCCCACTGACATCCTCCCCTCCCCAGATCTGAAATGTAATTCAAGTTAACTCACAATCTGTGGCATGTGTTGTTACTGCAGAGATGTCCCTGCCAGTTGAACAGTTGGAGATTTGAATTCCACAAGGAGATGGCATATTTATCAAAACAATATTTCAGAGAGACATTTTTACCGGTTCTTCTGAACCTCAGCGTAGCTAACTGCAGGTCTGGATTCAGAATTCAGGTTGGACCTTGCACTCGTGCTTTTAATTTCTTCTCTGCCTCCCCTCAAGCGTGTTACCAGAGAGACATTTGATCCCTGTGTGCAGTCTTTCATGTACTTCCTTCTCCCTATTATCTCCTTGCTCCTGCTTCCTCCACTGGCTTTCGTGCTGACCTGTGAAGGTTGCAGCCTTCATCTGGGTGTGGGGAGGAAAGACGGGAACGAGAAACACCTCTGTGAATCCCCTGACCTCCTCCGGCAGTGGTAGGATGTACGTATGCCCTACACCCAGAAGCAGGCAGCTCGCTCTGAGTATCCAAACACCAAATATTTTTTACTGGCCAAGATTTCTTTCTGGCTGCCCCTTGGGCTTTGTTATTACAGACTCAGATTCTATTGAGGTATTTTTCTTATTGTGTGAGTTTTTCCAGATGAAAGGAAACAGCTTGTCTGCTTATGAGCAGAACAAACAGCGGAGTAGGGAGAGCTGCTGTGCTTTGAAACTCTCCCTGGCTTTGTTCTGGTTCTCAAGCTGCTGTTAAGGATACAATACCATCTCTCCTTTTTCTTTTTTCTTTTTTTTTTTGGTCCCCCTCACCCTTCCTTGAAGGAGCCAAAGATTATTTAAAAAAAAAACCAAACTTCATTTCAGAAGGTTTCTCAACTTCTGTGCAATTTATTTTGCAAAAGGCTTTGCTAAAATAATTATGTTGTTCAGCAGCTTGGGCCATGCAGTTACTCTTTCTTTCATGACTGCCATTTAACTTGTGTTGCAGAATTACTTAACTCATTTATTTCTGATGACTTTTTTTGGTTAATCTAATATGAAGACATTTAATTATAGAGAGGGTTTTTTGTTTGTTTTTGGTTTTTCCTGACCTGCTGCCCACTTGGATCTTTGGCTGCAATTCCAGGCACATGCTGCAGCAAATTTGGCCTTGGCAATTCCAGTTTCTTGTGTGCGCTACATTTAAAGTTAACTTTAAAACTGCTGCTGCTGGGGGCACAGCAGGTGAGCGCCGGCTTGAACTGCACAAGAAGACAATGGCAAAAGAAACTGGGAGACAGCAAGGGAGAAAAAAAAAACCTGACAGCCCGTGAAATAGTTGGGGAAATACATTGCAGTGGCCTGGAAGGCTTTTGGAAAATATATATGATAAATAAAGCAGGAGTGGTGCAGTGTAGGAGATGGCCTTTTAACCCAGTTGAAGTTTGTTTGGCAGAGCACAGGCAAGAAAAATCAGCTGAGATTTGGGTTAAGTTTGGGTTTGGATTTTGCATCTTGTTCCTACTTGATACATTAGACTTTGTCTGTAAGACTGAATTATTAAAATCACTTGAGGAAGTGTGTTAATTGATGGGGTAGATTGGGAAGGGATGAAGAGAAGATTGCAATTACTCCATCAAATTATGAAAAATCACAGACAGGAGAGGTATAAAATGTAGGGCTCCTCTTTGAATAATTGAAAAGCATCAATGGCAAAAAAAAAAAGTAGTAGTTAATCGAGATGGCAGATGATAAACTGGATGGGAAGTGGAACACTTCCCCCAGCCCTCGAGAAGAGAAACTATGTCCTGGGTTATGCTGGAGGATTTTTCTCTAATCCGAATGCAGGAACGTTACTTTGAGTGCTGCCACTGGGAAATCGAGGAGGGATTGAAGAGAAAATCGTTGACTCTTGCCACTGGGGAGCAGTGTTGAGGACAAGAACTCTTCAGATGTTTGTACCGAGCTGCTAATGAAGCTTTCTGAGCCTTGAAATAGCCAGAGGTTGTGCATCTAGGAGTAATGGGATGAAAACGAACAAATGAAAACCATTTTCAAATTGTCGTTCCACTTCTTCTGGAAGGCTCCTGGCAGACCCGGACTTTCTCCCTGAATATTTTGAGTCATGTAAAACCTACTAGAGAAAGTACTTCGTCAAACAGGGATCTGCTTCCGACACGGCGGGAGGTGGGTGTGCTGGTCCTCGATATTTAATAGCGTGGTGTCCTGGAGAGTGACGTCCTTGCGTGGATGTCTGCAAACCTGTTCCTCACTGCTGCGTCTAATGCTATAGCTGGAGTACTTTTTCTCCGCTTTTTTACCTTAGCGTGGTAAAATGAAGCCATATAAGTGTTAAGTCCTAAGACTGTTGCATCTCACAGCTGGGATGGATCCTTTTTTCCTGTTCATGCCTACTTATGCTAGGACTGCAAGGTTTTGGTTCCTTTTTAATTTCACGTTAGAAGGAGAGTTTCCGACTGTTGATTCCGGTTGTTGCTGCATTGCAGTTTGTCCACACTTCCTTTCTTTCCCACTAACTTTTTTCACTCCTCTAGGCAGGTGGCGTTGGCAAAATTATTGCTTATTATTGAATTTTTGCCAAACTACAAAACACTTGACAAAAATAGCTAAACAGGATGTTGAGTTTATAGTCTGCGGCCGGGTTACAGCTCACAGCCAGCTCCGGTCGTTGTTGGAGGCTCGTCAGGGGTTTCACCCCCGTTGCAAGGAC